ACATTGAAATTTCAATATCCCAAAAATAATAAAGATCGAAAGCATATTCAAATCAAGTTCCCCGAATAATTCTGCACTCTCCAACAAAGGGGTATGATTGGTATGGCTTATCTGTAACAACAACCTATTGCTTCTCCATAAATGATCTCAAACTATGGTCAATCACGCTACCGTACTCCTTTGTTGACATCCAACCCACCTTCATCTTTCTTTGACAATTCTCCGCAGTTATGTGTTCGTATCGTATACGCATTCACCGAGTATCTTCTCCACAATGTGGAGAAACATCGTTTAAGCATCTGTGATTTGAGAACATCTACTTCAGGTGCCAAAGAGCACTCATCGTCGAATGGAAGGATTGAAAGCGTCAATGCTTTTCCGACTACAACTTTGTGCGAAGAAAATAATTTATTGGACAAAAATTGCCATCTACAACAATATCACAGCATAACCCGAACCAAAACAACGGGGAGCTCTAGAATCTGCCAAAACGCAGAAAATCTCAAATTTCTAAACACAATGTCGCACATACTTCCCCAACAGCTAGGGCAAAAATGTGTGCATTTACACAAACATGCGCAGTAAACTATGAAGTCCTAGATCTCCTAGCGTTGCTATTATGAGGTTTCCCCTCTATCCTACTATGTGATGCCTCTAAGTGAACGTTATTCTGACAGGCTTGACACATCCTCTTCATAAAAATTCTGAAGGCGCGCCTACCTGTGCACACGACCTTTGTGTAAATGCACAAATCTTCTAGCCGCTACTTGAGGTTACAGACCAAAAACAAAAAACAACAGAGCAGATTCGAAATCGAATGATAACAAGTGTGACAAGATTCTGAGTTTCCTAGCTTTGATAAATATATTCAAGCTGAGGAAATGAACCAAATACTTTTTATAGGATGAGCTAGATCAACCATGAGAAGTACTGCGTTCTCATCAATGAGAACTCCAAGTCTGATTGAAAGGCAACGAAACTTGCCCAGCACCGATAAACTTGTAGCTAAACCCTAGCGGAGGAGTCAATAGCTGCTCGAATTTGTAATCCGTAACATCGCTTATTTCAAAGTTCGTCAATGAGCGAAGGTTGAAGAACACTTCCATGGGCACATCGCCGGGAATATAGGTGTCCGACGATACTTCTAAAAAGAAATCTCAAAAATAAGCCAGTATACACAGTGCACAGCAACTAAACTCAATGTTAGGCTTATGAAGGCGTCAAGAGATTATGAGACTGAACACATGCATATATGCACTATAGACATGCAAAATTACCTGAACTTTGCCCAAAAACTGAATAAGTAATATAAAATGGGTGATAATAGGTTCAATGAAAAAAGTCGCACTTACCAGGTGCTACATTCCTGTAGTTATCTTCAACTCGTGGTTCCTCATGGGGCCAGCAGAGCGGACCGGTCTCATAGCTGATCTGCAATGTCAGTATTGAAAATAACACTGTGTTTAAAGAGATCATGACAGTTGCATCGAATCACGGTAGTAAGATAGTTTGTTGAATTATACATTCAAAAATGATTACATGGATAGATGAGGGTAAATGCATCAGAAAACCACATTTACGTTCGTACCTAGTGGCCGCCTAGTAAAATTATGAACTTTTTTCTGAGCATCAAATATCCGTAGATCTTGGATATTAGCTCGGTATTTTTCGAGACGTTGACTGACTTCAGTTTTTGGGATAAGTGGCAGAAAAAAAATAACAAGAAATCAAATCTAGAAAGTAAAAATTCACCCGGTATTTTTTGAAATGCCCAGGTTAGCCGAGTTTTTCGTGTGGTGAAAAATGAGCGATATAAGAAAAGAAAACATGTCTCACCCCTCGTTCTGGATATATATAGTTTTTGTATATAGCACTTATCCAAACCCGGTAGATTGCACTGTGACCAATTTCCTCTGTCGGATAGCAACAGTTCTGAATAATTTGGGTAGAGGATGACATACAAACCAAAAATGCAAAAAAAATTCGTTTTTGCTTGGAAAAGGAAGAAATT